ACGTTGCAGACCAGTTTGTGCACACAATGTGCACCGAATACGAATTTGATCAAGCATATTTCGCAAAGGACGACTGGCTTGTGTGAGTTCATTGATCGACATGGGCTTTTGAAGACACATTGGACATGAGCTCTTGTCGTTTTGATTAAGCCATTGTGTGATACACTCGCGACCATATGTATGATCGCATGGCGTGCAAATTGGATCTTTGAGAGCTTTATGACAAATGCTACATATTAAATTTGGATCTATGGACTGTTCGTCCATGTATTCCATAAATTCAAAATCGCAGCTATTCGTCATCAGTAATAGGAAGAAAATATCTATAAATAATGAGCATTCATTACTTAAATAATATAATTGATAATTGCATGCAATAAGAAGTAGTTTTACAGATGGACTTATATATTCCGTAAGACACAGTCGATTTGCATAAGTAATTAAAATGTGTGACACTCAATCTTTTTTTTTATTGTTTTCACCTTCTAGTTTCACAATACATTACAGCACACAATTTTTACAACAGCCCAGCTCAAAGAATACGGCAAGAAAACGGTTGGTCCCGGGGCTTTCCTGAGATTTCACGGAAGCAGTATTCCCAGACGGAATTCGCCGGGTTTTTCCGCTTTCTTTCTGGTCATATCCGACCGGAAATTGCAGGAAAAGTTCAAGAAAAATCCCACGGTTTCTATTGACAATCCGAATCTTTGGTCCATGAACGGAAACAACTGACATTGACTTAATATCCGACGGATTTTGTACGCCCAATTTTCCGACCGCTTCCTACCTACGTTTCCCACTTGCTTCCCGTCAATTACTGAGCTCGGAAGCAGGAGTGTGTCGGAGTCTATGTGACTCCATATAACCAACAGTCACACACACCCTTGAATGGTAGGAAGAAAAAGATGCATTTGGATTTAAGGTATACCCAACGGCTGAATGAGCGCTGAATCAGCGGACGAATATGATAGAGATTTGAATGTAGTGTGTCCTGTTGTATTGGTTTCCCATTATGCTTATGGAGAAGTTCAAGGTACGGATGTCTTAAAATGGTATGAATAGTCCTCATCCCTGTGTCTTTTAGCTGAAATAATGTTTCTTCGCTTATTCGGACTGTTTTTGTTTGAACCATTCTTAAAGATGGCTTTTAAAAAGTTGTTCAGTTTACCTGATTAAATTGTAAATGCAGTCGATATCTGGGAAAGTAGTGGGTCTTCATGGAATTGACGGGAACATGGCCTTGTGGAGCATTTCCTGTTGGTGATGGTGGGATACGATCGATTCTTAAGGGCAGTATTGCGCAGGATTTTCCGGGGTTTTGCTTATCGTTTCCGGGCGTTTCCTGCGAGAAAGCGGTGAAAGTGAACGGAGTTTTCTGAAAAAAGCCAGCTGTTTCCTGTTTAGGAATAGTTTGGCCGTCTTTCCTTGAGTTCCATGGTTTCGTTTGTTGTTGGTGTATAATATTGGACAAAAGTCGGCCTTACGGCTATGATTTCGGGTAGATATGTCATATTTCTGAACAGTTCTGGAGAGAATACTGTAAGTTTTCTTAAAAAGTCCTTCGTGGATATGGTATGTTCCGAGATGGTTTCGTGCAGTGGATTTACGGGCACGCGGAAGGACCCGGTACGGTGATTTACAGCCTGAAATACTGCTTCCATTTTCCGAATGCTTTCCGGGCGGTTTTCGGAGGTAATACACCAGAACCCGCCGGAATCATCGTCCTGGAAGGATATTTTTTTTTGTTTCTTTCCATAATGTCAAACATGTAGTTTAAATCAAGTGGGGATTACCATTATTAACAATGTTCTTTCTCAAATGCATTCGACTCTAAAATTCCACAGATCAACTTTGAGAGTAAAGTTTTCAAAAGGTGGAAAATAGTCGTTGTTAGTTCGAGAAAACTTAAAGACGAGGTCTTTTTTTTTTAAATGACCAGCTTGTGCAAGAAAAACATCTTTATAAAACGAGGGATTTTCACATCCCTTGTAAACTTGCATTGAAATATTAATTATAACCGTAATAGAAAGGATACGGCACACTTTTTAAATTCCTTTTTTAGCATTTTCTTGATAGATTTTGGCAATTTTTTCTGCTTTTGACTTTTATGAAGTCTTGGCATAGTATTCATTCTCGAGACGATTTCCGTCAACTATTCAACACACCATTTAGATCTGAACTAAATATCTGATATTATAGTAAAAAATCGAAAACATCTTGCTATTACAATTTTATTAAGTATTCATAGGGCAGACAATATAGCATGAGGGCACTGATATACAACGATGTTCTACAATGCAACGTCACGAGGGCGTGGCAAATCTCAAACTGTTACCAGTTTCGGTTGAATGACTTAGTATGTGATATAATTGTAAAAATAAAATATTCAGTTTCTGATAAGCCGAAAACTATCATCGTACATCATATA